TAAATCTGACAGCTGTGGGACGAGCGGTTTAGAAATGACAGCAGTCTGAAGTTGGTTGCAGTTTTTTCATCTCACCTTGTAGATCTATCCCATTTTTATCTATGTAAATCTATCATAAATCTATCTATGTGGATCTACTATATATCCATCTGTATAGAAATATCTATTCTCTATATAAATCTAACCCATTTTTATCTATATAGATCAATCATATATCTATCTATATATATCTATCTATATATATCTACTATATATCTATTTATGTAGATATATCATGTATCTATCTATATAGATATATTATATATCTATCTATATAGGTGTATGATATATTTATCTATATAGATATCTATATAGATATATCAATCATATATATATACATATATATACAAGATATATCAATGCATATACCTATACTCAATATCCAGACAACAGTTCAATTTTCCTCTATCGGAATTGTTTCAACTGTTTATTCTAATGCTTGGATTATAATTTGTTTTATCATTGGTATTGTCTCTGCGCGGATTGTGCACCTAGTTCTTCTTAAAATGTTCTAAAAAATCGATTGTGTTTTAAGTCGAATTTTACCAAATGCAGCATCTACTATTGCATGAAAAGCTTTGTCATGCGGAAAGGATTATTAAGTTTAAATCTTTATGCAATATTTCAACAATGCGGTCAAGCAAAACACCCACAGTTTTAGCAACAACTTTAATTTTTCATTTTACATGACTTCAAATAAATTATATTAGAATTACTATAGAAAATTATTAAATCAAATTATTTTTTAAATAATTTGGAATATAACTCTTAGCAATATAGTTGCACGTAATACACAGCTATTAATAATTAATTTTAATTTATGTTCTTACCAAAAACGCAGCGATATCTAACAAAAACAACTAAAAATAGTTAATTACCTTTATATATAGCTGTGATTTAAGCTTTTGTTCTAAAATAATACCTTAGAGAACATTTGTTGTCAAAGTGATGTGTTCAAGTTTGAATAATACAGGTCAAGTAAAGTCCTGGCTTAAACATATAAAGCGTGAGTCTGTGTTTAAATTGAATTTAAGTTTAACCATTGAAGTAAGTTATCTTCCAATTTTAAATAAATTATCTTCACATTCACATCATATGCATTATACAAAAAAAATTATATTCTAATTGTTATCCACGAAAATTATTTTAACTCAAATAATTGTACAACTTTTGGTATAGGAAGCAAACAGAGATATCTTAGTAAACTCCATATTTTATGAATGAATTCTTCTAAATTGAGTTTACATAAATTGCATTTCATTATCCTAATTATTATTATTGAAGTAAATTCACTTCTTTAAATAATACTGATATATGATGAGTATATATACATATAGGTATATATATAAAGTAAAATATTTGCTAAGCATATGTATTGAAATGGATTAAAATAATTGTACAATTGTTACTATAAGATATTGTAGTAATAAGATATAAGATATTATACATTTTCTTAATTAGATTGCGAAAGTTCAATTCAGCCAAGTTAAATTAGGAAGATGACGACGAAGATGAAAACGAAAAAAATCCAAATTTATTTAAAATTTTTTTTTACTTGTATATCATTGAAGTGCTATAAAATGTATCTTTAAAAAGTATTTATTTAAATGAAATTTAACTTCAAACATTACATTTTAAGCGTTTTTATTCTTATAATGCGCAGTCCATGAAAAAGTCAGAGAAAATGGTACTGCTAACACTAGCTATTGGGATTTGTAGGTGGATGAGCCAAAATCGTAGGAAGGTATTTCTTTGACAGAAAATAAGTATCATTAATTTTAAAACATTAGTATATTCACCAATCGTTGGTATACTTCCAAATCGAAATATATTATTTTTTATGAAATTTTATCGATATTAATATTATCGACAGCTAGCCATTGTCTCCTTGGCTACGTTTTTAGTCGTTACCGAGTAATAGTTCTTATAATTTATATGCTATTATAGGTCTGTAAACGGGTTAAAAGTTTAAAACCTGAAACTTCTTCACTTTACTTTAATAAATAGACTGTAACTAAGACAATATATATATATGACATGAAAAAAAAGAAAACAATAATTTACACATATATATTATAAACAACATATATAGTCGTACAAGAAAAAAATATAACACTTTAAAACCGCAAAAAAATATTTTGTGGCAATGAACTTGAAATGCAACTGATAAAATCATTAATTTCGAAACAAAAAGTTCACATGTTTTTAATGACGAATTAATATGTGATCATGTGAACTATCCTACAAATGTGAACTCATAAAATTTCTATATAAAGTTTTGTATTTAATGTTTTCGTAATTTCTGTTGTTATATTTATTTTTTTTTTTATTTTTATTTGTTTTTTGTTTTTTTTTGTAAATATCTGCTAAAATACGAAGACTGCCCCCGTCTTAATTAAAAGTCAACAGAAAACTACAGCAGCTAAGAAAACGTGAAAGAAGCAATATACCATAATTTCAAGATATAAAAAAACTTTATATTCATTTTTGTGGGATTTTGTAAAAATTATGCAGTTTATTTTAATATGAATGAATTAATATAATGATGGAAATATCTATAACAACAATAAAACCACGCATGTGCGCGCAGTTAAGACGATTGCGTAAAAGAAATGTAAATTGTTAAAGAAATGCTTAAATAAGTTTGTTGCTTAAGTCTTTTGTTCGCTTACTTTAAAATGAAAAATTAAAATAGGAAATTCAAAACCGAAAAATAGTAATAATTATAGTAAATTCAGTTAAAACGAATTTGACATGAATGTCAACAAATGATTGAAAGGTTTTAGTAATCATTTTGTTTGACCAGATTTAATGGTTATATCAGTTTGTATGAGTAATAATATATTCATATTAACAAAAAAGGTAAATAAAAATAAATGCGTGCGTGTTCAGCAAAAAAATACAAGAAAAAAATACTAACTTCGTTAATAAAATAATTTTGCAATTTATTTTAAATTATTTTAGATTGACGAAAGTTTTTGAAAATTGATTTTGGCTTTTAAAGTTTATGAATTGTGCAATTTTACACTCGAAATAAAAAGTCAATTAGCGACGATTTCTTTAAATAAACGCGCAAGACTCACTCACATAATGCCAATTATGGTTTTTTATACGAATTTTGCAATTTCTTGTTATTATGCATAAGACATCAAGCTTTGTTCGATTTTGCAAGTCACGCAAATTTGAAAAGTGCATATGCAATCAATATGTGCTTAGCATAACTCGGTTACATCCTCCGTAACAAATTACTAACATTGAGTGCATTTGGTTATGACGAAATGTTTTTTATTCTTAAGAACATCGGTCTATAGCGTGTGATGTAACAACTGAATACAAAAAACATTACTTAAAATTATTTAAGTAATTATATGATCTTTATAACTCATAAGTTAGAAGGGTTCGAACAGTAATGAAGAAACAACAACAACAATTTTAATTAATATATTGAAATTTGACTGACCATACAACGCTGTTTCGATTATTGTTAAGTACTCATCGTCAGTGATTTTAGGAAATATTCGAATTTCTATTGATTTAGTTTATAGTTCGCATATTGTTTTCTTATTACTGTGCAAACCCTTCTAACTTATAAACAGTTTCTTTTCGTCATAAGACGCGTCATATTCGACAATAAAAATTAATATTTAAATACAAAATCATTTCCTATTAATATTTTTCAAATTGGAAATAAAGTAGATCTCCGCTTCCGGAACATACATATGTTATGGACATGTCTGATTGATAGTCTAGTAAAATATATTTGATTTAAGGGTTATATGAATAGAATCTTATATGTTTTCTTTAACTATACGATTTATTTACTATTTACTATTTAGTTAATAGATCGATGTAATAGGTAGTGGATTAATGTTCAGTTGAAAACTGAATTTATCTTTTTTTATTGTTTAATTTTAATAAAAAAAAAGTTTCAATAATGTAGGCCTAAAAAAAAGAGACACATAACAAGCATTGTATAAAACAGTTTTATTTTTCTGTAATTTTAATAAAATTATAATAAAAATATGCATTTAAATTCATAGAAAACTTAATTTCATTAAAAAATTATATTTTATTAACAAATTATTTAATTATTAAATAATTTTTCCATTTATATTAAACTTTTTTATAATTTTTTATTAATTTCTATAGTTTGTTCCTATATTAAATCTTAATTTAATTTCATTCAAAAATTATATTTTATCTTTTAACATAATTTTGAAATCAATATGAAACTATATCTCTTGTTTTATTCTTTTTTACAGTTTCCTATATTAAATCTCAACAAAATATGGGACAAGAGATATCACAACAAAATAAATGCAACACGGGAAGACGGCAGCAACAGCAACAACAAACACAAATACACAACAATTTAAGGCATCAAAATTTTCCTTCTAACGATAAATACACTAAATATAAGGACCCCATCTATACTTCATCAAGCATTTCGACAGCTTCATCCACTGACGACGAACACTTTAAACAACGTCAAAAGTACAATTTACCCAATCAAACCTATGAGAAATCTAAAGTAGCCAAAAAATTAAGTTACAACAGCACAACTACAGCTTCCACAACATCCGATTATCAGATCACATCCGTCAGCAGTCGCAGTTCAACAGACATCAGCACACACTACGAAAAGATTGTACATAGTAAACGTCCATCAAACGATTTTCAAAACACAAAGCTGCATCGCAAAAGCTCAATTAGTACGGATAGCGGAATTTATTACTCCTCATCCTGTCATTGTTCTTCTGTCTCATCAGGTGCATCTAGCTCTTCAGCCAGTTCTACAAGCGGTTGTTCAATATCTTTAGTATCGAGTAAATCGAATAAATCTTTGGATAAACAAAAAAATTATCTCAATCATCATTTGTATATTAAATCTTATTTAGACATATTGGAGGAGGACGAAAAAGCACGGGCACACTATAAACCAGGCAAACCGGGTGGAATACGGAACTATACGCCTAAAATATTATCAGACGCAGCATTATCTGTGAGTGCACCAGCCGTGGGTTTCGCTGCCAAACAACGTGCAAAAGTCAAGGAAGAACCGTGGATTTGACAATTACTGAAACATGGCGTTTGGAGCAATGACATCTTTGCTTGGCATGATACCATTACTAGCTATCGGCATGAACTTCTATCGCTACCAAAGTGTCGATCCAGAAAGCAAAGTGCAAGAGCCACAAACAGTAAGTATAAAGATTTATAAAAAACGTGCTTAAATAATTTTTACTTTTACTTCAAGGTCAGACGTCAATATGATTTCATAGTGATAGGCGGTGGCTCCGCAGGTGCAGTGGTAGCCAATCGCTTATCAGAAGTACGTAACTGGACTGTACTTCTACTTGAGGCTGGAGGAGATGAAACTGAAATTTCTGATGTACCTGCACTAGCAGGCTATTTACAATTAACTGATTTAGACTGGAAATATCAAACAACCCCTTCACCCACACGTCAATATTGTCAGGCCATGAAAGGTGATCGTTGTTTTTGGCCACGCGGTAAAGTTTTAGGTGGGTCTAGTGTTTTGAATGCTATGGTTTATGTGCGTGGTTCTAAGAATGATTACAATCACTGGGAATCACTTGGTAATACCGGATGGGGCTATGAAGACGTTTTAAAATATTTTCTAAAATCCGAAGATGTTCGTAATCCTTACCTGGCAACCACCCCCTACCACGAAACTGGTGGTTATTTAACTGTACAAGAGTCTCCATGGCGTACTCCATTGTCTGTTGCATTCCTACAGGCAGGCATGGAAATGGGCTACGAGAACCGTGATATCAATGGTGAGAAGCAAACAGGATTTATGCTTACACAAAGCACAATTCGTAGAGGCGCGAGGTGTAGCACAGGCAAAGCTTTTATTAGACCCGTACGTTTGCGTAAAAACTTAGATGTACTTCTACACTCACAAGCAACCAAGATACTTATTGATAAAAATAAACGCGCTATAGGTGTAGAGTTTTTAAAAGGTGGACGCAAAAATATCGCTTTTGTACGTCGAGAAGTGATCTCAGCAGCTGGTTCACTGAACACACCGCAACTTCTCATGTTGTCCGGCATTGGTCCAGCAGAACATTTACAGGAGTTTGATATACCAGTGATATCGGATTTACCTGTTGGCAATAATTTACAAGATCATGTTGGTTTAGGTGGTTTGACATTTGTTGTTGATGCACCGTTGACAGTTACACGAAATCGATTTCAAACTATACCAGTAACAATGGAATACATTTTAAGAGAACGTGGACCAATGACATTTTCTGGTGTGGAGGCAGTAGCATTTTTAAATAGTAAATATCAGGATCCAGCTGTAGATTGGCCAGATATACAATTTCATTTTTGTCCGAGTTCAATTAATTCCGATGGAGGTGAACAAATACGTAAAATTCTAAATTTACGCGACGGTTTTTATAACACCGTGTATAAGCCCATACAAAATTCTGAAACTTGGTCTATTTTGCCGCTCTTGCTACGTCCGAAAAGTACCGGTTGGGTGCGACTGAATTCACGAAATCCCCAACATCAACCTAAAATTATACCTAACTACTTTGCACATCAAGAAGATATTGATGTGCTTGTGGAAGGCATTAAATTAGCTATTAACGTTTCTAATACTCAAGCTTTTCAACGTTTCGGTTCGCGA